CCCCCCCCCCCTCCCTCCCCTCCATCCTTTCCTACCCTCTTCTCCTCTCTCAGCCTCTCCCTTCCTTTAGCAGCAAAAAGCTCTACTCATCTGTTTTCTGTGTATGAATTTCCAGCCATGCATTAGTCTCCCTGACATGTTCAAGCGATGCTTTATTTAGCTTGTCGGATTCTGCAAATAAACGCAATCTCTGAGTTTATGGAAAAATGGATAAAAATTAGATTGTAAGGTATTGATCTGGATTGTGAGTAGTCAGTGGGGGTGTTGTATATGTGTGTGTGTGTGTGGTGGGGATGAGGGGAGGGGGGCAGCTCTCATCTGTGTGGGGGGGAGAAATGAAGCCGTAATTCAGGGCTATTGAACCCCCTGCCACTGGCGGCATCGATCGCCAGGCAGCGCTTATGAGATCACACCTGAGCACTGGAGACTGCAGAGGGGAGGGAAAGAGCGGGGAGGGAGAGAGGGATGCAGGCAGGGAGAGGGGGGACGAAGGAGTAGAGAGTGAGAAAGAGACAGAAACAGAGGGTTGTGATATAATCAGCTCCTTACCCACTGTCTGAGGGCCTGTTAAGGTGTTAACATCAAGCCTCAGAGCCAATTACCTAACCCTGCAAGTACACTACCCACCCACTCACCACCACCACCACCCCACAGACACATACAGTGTTGTGATACAGGAGGAGAAGGAGACAGGGCTACTGGACACTTACTGTAGTTCCCCCTCCTCCTCTCTTGTGTTTCCAGGACGACTCCACCGCACTGACCTCTCAATTATCCCTCATCCCCTCGCCTACTCTTTGCGCCCCAAATATCCACCCCCTCTTTTATTCCGCCCCTAAAGCTCATACCTCCAGCACCCCTCCACCCCTTGCCTCCTCTCCTCCTTCTCCTACCCCCTCACCCCTTCATACACACTCCCCCTGCGGCTCTGTGGGTTATTATAGTGAAATATGAAGCCGTGTGGATTCTAGGCTTCATGAAATTTCCATGAGCATTGATCTGATCTGATGTGGGTGATTGCTAGGTGAATCCCTCCAGTCCAGGGCTGTTGCTCATCTATTCATTTATTTATGGCAGTTATGTTTTACTGGCTTTGATTTGCTCTTCTGGAGAGCGACAGCTAAGGATTATAAATATACCTGTATAGGAGAGTGTGCTTTGAATCCTGGAGTGTACCGGCACACCACTCCTCTTTCGAGGCAGGAGAGTTTTTTTTTCTTCTACCAGTACTAATTCCTATTGTGAAATGTGAGATACTGAGCATAGATATAAGAGCATAAAACACCAAGATAATCCCCAAAGAGACACAGCCAGGTAGTTAGTTGTGCGCATTGTCCCCCACATACTCCTCTTCTGGTTTATGGTCCTTGAAAACGAGCAGAGACAATATCACTTCCTCTCTCAATTACCAAAATTGTCTCTTTATTTGTAATAGGGGGTATCTTTGTATGTCTTGGGGTTTTTATGCTATTGTTCACTCGAGGCTCATTTGGCACATTGTGGAGAACTGATAAAAAATTCATCATAAAAACAAAAGCCTTTGAGACGAAAGAGAGGATGTTGTCAGAACAATCCCCTCCTCAGACTGCAGGCCTAATCCAGGGCAAATCCTCCTTTAGGCTTTAGAGAGATCAGAGAAAAGGGAAGTAATGTCAAATATTTGTCCTCGGAAATAATTCGTACTTTATTTGTTGCATGTGATCATCTCATTGTTTTGGCTTATTTTATCAGTGGACCAGCTGGCCTGTAATGTGTGTCATTCTTCAGAAGTTGAGCCTGCCTCTGGCATCTCTACTCCTACTTTTTTTCTCTCTGCACTGTCTTTGCTTCTAGCTATTCACCTTTCCTTTCTTTCACTCTTATGGATTACTGGAACGGTCCACTGGGAGAGCTGTCCAAATACGTTTGTGTTGCCAAAACAGAGCATCACAGATTCTTTCTCCTTTGCTCTCTTTTGGTTTGTGTGTCTGAGAGAGCGGCTCAGGAGGAGCCATGGTGAAGTCACTAGAGGTCCAGCAGGACAGCTTGTACTCATAGCCTCTAGGGGCCTTTTTCTGGGGGCCGCCTAGTCAGCCTGGCTGCTCAGATGTGAGGCGAGCAGGGCATCAGCCCTCAGGAAACGTCCAAGCTGCGACCCACAGGGGAAACAGACGGACGGCCCAGACACATACAGGCAATCCTCACGCATAATGGATCCTTCTCTTTCACTTTTTACACACATACAAGTACAAATACAGACATGTTCAAGCCACATACACAGCCACAAACTCTGTACAGACGCGTTTTATAGGATGTAGCCCAGAAAAGTAGTCAAGACTGTGCATTGACTCCCCAGGCAACCCACAAAGAGACACAAGGGGAGGAGGGTAAAAGACAGAAGAGAGAGAGTACATTAGGAATGAATTATGTGGAGAGAGCACTTATCCAACAACCCTCCTCTGAAGTGTTTGTACTATAAGCCTCAGATCTTCATTGTATTTATTCTAATGTTTAAATATTCATGGTAAATCTTCTCATATTCAATTACCGTAGCACGACCACAGCATGCCGAGAGAGTGCTTTCTCCCTGCTGCCTGGATGATCTGACTCTGTGTGTGTGTGTGTGTGTTGTGTGTGTGTGTGGTGTGTGTGTCGTGTGTGTGTTTGCCTGCTGTACATGTTGAGTGTTCACGACTATCTGGTGTGTGTGTGTGTGTCTGTGTGTGTATGTGTGTTTAAGCTTCGTCCCGAGCGATCAGAGCCTTTTGGAGTAGACGCGACCCAGGTCCATCCTGGCTAACTTGGACTCTCTCATACATAATTTTATGCTCGCATTGTATATACGCCCACACCGCGAGAGAAGACCACTCAACATCTATTATATGTAATGTATATATTCGCCCAACAACAACTATTCACATCTCCCTCGGCCTGGTATAATCCTGACAGTCTTTTTATTAACCACCAAAGTAGGCGACAGAGAGAGATTCATTACATCACAGGCAAACAAAGACACACACAAGACTTAATAGAGAACACCCACATTTTCAGTGTGTTTAGTTTAATGTTGAAATATTCATGTAAAAAAACGTGTTTAATTCAGTCATTTCTACTGTAGGAGAGAATCATTCGTTTTCTCCTTCTGTATCTCTCAGTTGCCGTTGAACAGTAGGTGTTTTCATTATTAAGAATCAAGCATTAATCTGTTTTTTTTTCTCTGTCTCTCTCTTTTCGTTTGTGCTTAGCGCTGAACGAGCCAACCATAGACTACGGTTTCCAGAGGTTACAGAAGGTCATCCCCAGACATCCCGGAGACCAAGAGAGATTACCCAAGGTACAGTGCCTCCACTCCTCTCATGTGTCTGTGCTCATGCTGGTTGCCACAAGCAATTATTTTATAGGGATTTGTCTTGGTAACACTGGTACAGAGAGGTATTGACAACTTCTAGAGTTTCATAGCATATATGGATAAACATGGCACAAGGGCAGTGTGACCTCACATACAGAGAAATGACTGTGTGCTGTAGACAGTAGGCTATACATGACACTATGAAGTGTGCACATAAACATTTTATCATATGTTCATGGTCATTTTCTGCTCAAACAAACACTTTATTTGCATAGCCAACGCACAAGCAACTCTATTCATCCTTCCACTGAGTATAAGGTCATTTAGACTGGCAAAGTGGGAGAGGAAAGGGAAAGATGGAGGGAGGAAAAGAGAGAGAGAGGGAGGAAAGGAGGTTGAGGGGAGAGAGGAAGAGAGAGGCAGAAGCAGGTTAGGTGATCCATCATAGCTGTCCAGTCTTACCTCCTGCTGGGTCAGTGGATCGAAGTCAACCCCGGGTGGACTTTATTACTTCCAGCACACACACACACATACACAAGCCGACACACACACACAGAAATGCACATACACACTTCTCTGTGCCTGTAACGTACTCACACATACACACACAGTGGTGGGAAGTCACCATGAGGCAGAGATGGAGGGCCCAGGTAGATGCAGAAGGAAGATAGAGAAATCACTTGTCCTCGCTGTGTGTCATGTCTAGTGGATACAAGACTTGTCCTGGTGAGTTCTGGTCTTTAGCCTATCAACCCCCTGTATCTCTCTAAATATCTTTGTATCCATCCATCTCTTTTCCTCTCCTCCTCTTCCTCCCTCACTCCGTGATGTCTCTTTCTCTTCTAAATGAACAGCGGTAGCTGGCAGGCCCAGTTGTTCATTTCAGCTCTATTGATTTGTGCCTTTATTGAGGTAATAACAGTTTGTTGACCACACTTCTCTCAACTGTTGGCCTCAATCATGAGAGAGAGGGGCAGAAGAGGGGCATACACTGGCAACTGATTGTGCTACAAATGTCCATTCATGGCTACCTTGGCAAAGCCTCTTTGTGGTCGTTCTTCAGTCAATTTCTAATCGAGATTAAATTGATTGGGAATATAATGTATTCCATTCCTTTTTCGAGGGGATTCTTAATGAACCCGCACACACACACATCGAGCAGGGAACAAGCAGGATATCTGCCAATGCCTGTTCTATCTCTGTATGTTGTGGTAATGATCCAGTGTCCAGCTGAAAACAGCCCCCATACTGCGCTGTGGCTAATAGTCATACAGTCAGAGTGAGGAGGGAGTGCTGGGCAGCTCAGGCACAGCCAGACTGCAGGGTGTTTAGCATAGGCTGTGGTGTAGCTGGGGGTCTGGGGCCAGCTAATGAGTGACCGCCCTGCCAGACGGGGCCAGGCTCTGCTCTGGATCAGGTTCCCCTTCCTGTTGACGTCTCTGTGGGCCTGACTTTACGGGAAGAGACCCTGCGCCCAGGAAATGGTCTCCCCTTACAGCAGCAGAGCTAGGGAGGCAGCACGGCGCTAACCACATTTATCTGTTTATCAGAACGACTCTGGAGCGCTGCCTAATCGCGTTTAGCTACTGGACAGATCCCTTTGCTAACGAGAGACTGATAGGTACAGACAGGGCACAGGACCACGAGAGAGTGATTAATAGAGAGAATGGGAGAGAAGGAGGAGCAGAGAGACAGAAGAAAGTAGTTTGGAGACACAGGTAAAGAGAGAGTGGAGATTAAAGATGGAGATGCACAGACAGACAGGAGTATAGGTCTGAAAGAGAAGGACCTGAAAGGCTATGAGACTCATTGCTGGTGCAGGGGGAGGCAAAAAAAATCATTTTCGATGAAGTGACTATGATTTCACGTGTCCTCCCTGCACACCGTTACACTCCAGCTGCTGATCTGTTTGTGTCCTAATGCCTCACACTTCCCTCATTTCCCCTCCTCCTCCCTCTCTTCCTCCTCGTCCTCCCCTCCCTCCCGTCATCCATCCATCTACCTATCTAGCAATCCCTGGGAGGCATTGGGAGTCGAGGAAAAGCAGAGAGAAGGAAGCGAGGAGCGGTGCATACATACTAAAGAACCACTTACCTTCCTAGGGCCTCTACGTCTCTCAATCACCTCGAACAGGCCTCCTCTCTGGTCTCCCCTCTTTCCACCCCCCCGCCCACCCCCACGCCTCCCTTGCCTCCCGCAGATACGTGCTAGTAGATGGAGGGTTCAACACAGGAGGGCAGCGCGTCCCATTATTGGTGAATTTACCACTCGGACAGCGCTCCTACAATCTTTATTGCTTTGCTGGCCCTCTCGTCCATTGTCCCCTGGGGGTTGCCCGCCCACGCCTCCACATGCTGCCGTGGGCTGTTGTTGCGGGTGCTCCTTGTATGTGTGTTTTTGTGTGTGTGTGTGTGTGTGTGTGTGTGTGTGTGTGATATGAGGTCTGATTGAAAGGCAGTGTGTCACGGAACAGAGAGCACACATGCTCCAGGGCTTGTTCACAGCGAGGGATACACTCAGGAGGGTATAGCGCACAGCGTGTGTATGCACGAGTGGAGGAGAAGGAGGGAGAGAAAGAAACGAGGGGAAGGTTGGAGGGGAGGGGGCTGCAATTTTCTGGTTGTCGCGCCTCCAGCATATATCCTGGCCCCGGCACATTAACTTTTAAAAAGGGTTTCGTAGGGCTGTAGGTGTCTACATCAGACACACACATATAACGACTGCCTGGAGTCACACACTCATACACTCAGGGAGGGAAAAGAATAGAGACAGAGAGGAGAGAAAGGAGGGTAAGCAGTAGAAAATGAGCGTGGCGAAACGGCAACACTATGAAAGGATAAACGTTTGATGTGGGAAATTCCACTCGGCAGTTTTCACCTGAGCGATGATGTTCTACATTTATCACACAAAGTGGATGCAGGGCTATTCACTTGGATCATTACCAGGGTTAATACGGGGCAGGAGACGGGTGTGTCCCAGCTGACTCTGGGAGTTGTATAGCCGTCAACCTGATGATATGTTGTGTTAAATGAGATTGATGTTTGATCATGTGCGGTAGATTCATGATCCGGCGGTGACAGTAGGGAGGAGAAGACGTAGAAGATGGTTGACTGATAAAGAGATATAGGCTCATGTTTTATTCACAGATAACAGTATCTTACCTCTGCTCTCCCAAACTGCCCAGCTAGTAACAAAGTGCTGGGACAGGCCCATTTCTCTTCCTCTCCCTTCCTCTGTCTGCCTCCTTCCTCTCTTGCACTCTCTGTTCTGCATTCACAGCATAATGTAAGACGTGAAATGTAATAAAAGTGACTGAACTCTTTGAGCCGTCACACTCATGATCAATCCCTTTCCTCTTTTTGCGCTTGATTGTAGGAGGTGATTTTAAAGAGAGCCGCAGACCTAGTAGAGGCTTTGTACGGGATGCCTCACAATAACCAGGTAAACACTCACACAATAAGCATGTACACAAACATCAATATCTTTTCTTAGATTAAATTATGTTTGTGGTTCGGACCACTGGCAACATCAAAGGCGGCGTCTCCGCTGGCCCAGCAGCACCCTGCTGCGTTCAGGCAAGATCCGGGATCCACAAACACACGTGTGGGAATAAGTGCTTTTATCAGCTCATATGTTGAGGACAAAAGGAGGAGAAGTACAATGGAAACTAAATGTAGAGGGAGGAGAGGAGAATTGGAAGAGTACAGAAGCGGACGAGGAGGAGGAGGAGGAGGAGAAGTGGGATTGAGACTGGACTCTGAAGGAGGATAAGAGAATTGAAACATGAAGCAGGGAGGAAGAGAGGAAGAGGCAGGCTAAAGATTTGATGAGTCTGTTAATGAGGCTTTCCTCCATTTACTGGAACCAATCCCACCACTCCCAGTGACCACTGATAAAAACCACTCAGCCTACTAGGTTTACATGCTCAATATCGCAAGTGACGATCTAGCATAGACCATAAAGCCTGCATCAAGGGCATATTTACTCTTCTTCCCTTCTCTCTTCTCTTGTGCCTCTGTTGCTGACCACAGCTCTTTTTTTCCTTCCTCATTGTCAGGAGATGATTCTGAAACGAGCAGCAGATATCGCAGAGGCCCTCTACACAACAGTGCCACGAGGGCACAACCAGCTAGCCAGTCTTGGCAGTGGCTCCGTCCATGCTGGCATGATGTCCGTAAACTCCTTCACTGGGTCAGAGGTGGCGCAAACAGCCAATCAGGGTGAGCAAACTCAACAGGAAACAATTAGAGTCTATAATCATGGGAAATGTGGTGGAATTTGTTCTCTGTTTTTTTCTTTTTGGAAAAAAAAGCATGGATAGTAAAGATGAGTAGTGCAATAGGGGACATTTTATTTTTCACGTGGGAAATTCAGAGAGGGTGATTTAAGAGCATGTTACAAATAAGGAGGATTCTGAAAAAGGAGGACAGGAGGAGGAGGGGAAGCGGCAGTGAGAAACAGGGAAAACTTGAGGCGAGGAATGAAAGAAGGTGAGAGAGTGAAGAATGGAGAAAAAGAGAGCCATGGATGGAGTACGATGGAGAAATATGAGTGGGTCCTAGGGGTGTGTATATTAGACTGGGGTCGGCCCCTGTCTGACAGAGAGAGATGTGGGTGCAGTCAGTGGTGATTCATCACATGTATCAGGGGAAGGAGAGGAGAGTGAATGGACCAGTCTCTGGATATGTCTCAATACTTCAGATGAGCTTCCTTGCATCTTTCCCTGTCCTTCATCTTCATCTGGAAACATGTTCAGATGTGCGGAAAACACCAGATATCAGCTGTGTGACTTCTGGAGTACAGTTTCCAACTCATAACAGATAAGCATGGGAAATTAGTGGTAAATAATTATGAAGAAGGGTGCTATTAAGTGTAGCCCTTGTTTAACAAGAGAGCAGTAATTCCTGATGTTCAATTCAAGCTGGGTTTTTTTTCCTCCAGTGTCAGAGCGTTGGACCTGAGATGTATATTTATAGTCTTGTTTCTATCTTGTCCTCTTTCTGTTCGCTACCCCTGTAAAGCATAAAGGAGAAAAAGGTCCTGTCAGAAATACCGGCTTCATTCTTTATAAATTACAGGAGAGCTGCAGAGTCCTTTTAGTGTTAATTGCCTTATCAATATATCTAATTTTGGAGTGGAGCCAGTAAGGTTAAAGGCCTCTTGTTTCAGTGGTTGGATTGCAGCTAGTTCTCTCTCATATCATTCTTCCTCCACTCTGTTCATTGCTTTCTCCCTCTGCCATATGCTGTCTAAGATTTTTTGAAAATTTCTTTTGGCTTTTATTGCTATGTCCATTAGCCATGTAGGGAAAAGAGTATTTGGCAGCATTGCATGTAGGCTTTCTCGTTTGGTTTTGTCTGCCATCTGCTACACCCCTAACACATATTCTCTCTCCGTCTCCCTCTCTTTCCCTGTCCATAGGTTTCAATAGGAATACAAGCAGTGTGTCCCCTCATGGTTATGTCCCCAGCTCCACTCCCCAGCAGAGTAGCTACAGCTCTGTCTCCACTAGCATGAATGGCTACGCTAACTCTGGCATGGCAACCTTGGGCACCTCTCCCAACTTCCTCAATGGATCTGCAGGCAACTCGCCCTATGCTAGTGAGTAAATGCAACACACCCTAGATCTGAAACCGAGAGGGGATGACAAAATCGAGGCACACAAAGAGAAAATATTGATTCAGAGCCTTTTGAACATTAAAGATTAAGTGTTTGACTGGAACTGAGAACTGGAGGTGGAAATGTGTGACAAAGTCATGCAGTTCAGCTGGCTCATCTGTTTCTTTAAGAACAGAGTAAAACGCAAATCCCCACTTTATTGGCCATGGGAGCAGATCCCCTAGCACCCCCCCCTCGACACACACACACACACCCCACCACCTCTGCTCACACACACACACACACACACACACATTCACCCTCTACATTAAAGACCCTTGATTAAATCAATAAACTAATTGCTAGAGAAGCAATTCCATTTCAGCGCTTTGATTCCTGGGTGTTAACAAGTATTTTAACAGGCTCATCGGCCCCACACAGACACTTTCAATCAATGGCCCCTCGGCCTGCCTTTGTAGGTCCAATTTTCATTAATTGATTAGTTAGGCCCCTTCATAAATGGATTATGACTTTATTGCGAGGATTTGTCAGGAAGAGCCATAAAAGCTAAGTGTTGGATAATAACAACAATAAAGGCAGAAGCAGATATCAGAGGGCAGGTGAAATACGACTTGGTTGATTGTAAAATCACTGAGGGGGAAAATGCTCTTAGTATATTAGCAGACAAAAGACAAACCCAAGAAAAGTGGATGGATGGGATGATGTCAGAGGGAGACAGGATTTGGGTTGTGAAAATAACCTTCTTGTCATTTTTGTCTCACGATTGTGATTTAGTAGAGTTCAACTTTTAGGTCAAACCGTCTTCACAATGCTGATCTTAACCTACTGGGAATGGATAGCCGGGTAATTCAAAATAAGGGAAGATATCACAGCTCATTAGTTAAGTCAGCATTAAGTTTTATTAAACCTCTGGGAGTATAAACTTCTCCACAAGAAAGACACGGTTTACAGACAGTTTACAGACACAGGAGTCAATGGTCTTAAGACAAAACTGATTTTTGACACACTTGTATAACTGTATCAATGCTGTTCATTGAAATCTGTTGCATGATTATCTGTAAAAAAGGTGACCTGGTAGCAAGTTGTTTGTAAGTAAAAAATTACGGTTACAGCACTCAAGTTAGCGAGGAGTTGTTTATCAAGCCTTTGCACCCCTTGAGCAACAGGATGAATCATCAAAACAGACTGATCAGAGGGGGGAAAAAATGCTTTGGGCTGTTTTCGGTGCAAGTTTTCAAACTAAACACATTTTTGTCTTAGCTATGGAATATCTAATTGCCAGGTCATTGCTTAACAATAAAAGGTTGCAAATAAAAAAGTCTGAGCCAGCTGATCTGAGTCCAAAATATTATTCCTCCTACCATCATCCATTGACCAGTCCCTTTCTGTTCGTCCCGTCTGCCCGTCCTCTGCCCTCGGCCCTCTCTCTAACCTTGTGTTGTCCCCTTTCCGTCTTCATTTGTCCTCCCCATCATTCTTCCCTGACGTGCTCCCTATGACCCCCCTTAACCTCCCTTTCCTACCCGTCTCTCTTCTCTCAGTCGTCCCATCAAGCCCCACCATGGCCTCGTCGACCAGCCTGCCCTCCAACTGCAGCAGCTCTTCTGGCATCTTCTCCTTTTCTCCAGCCAACATGGTGTCCGCTGCCGTCAAACAGAAGAGCGCTTTTGCCCCAGTCGTGCGACCCCAGAACTCCCCTCCGCCCACATGTACCAGCGCTAATGTTAACAGCCTGCAAGGTACGTTTCTAAACAGGAAGCATTTATCTACATATGATTCAGAGCCACTGTTTATATGTGTGTTTATACAATAAGTACTTTCAAAATAACTGTCTATACCGCTTCATAAAGCTTTAATCCTGCTCTTCATCACCTCCTTATGATAACAATTTCTCACTTTTACTCCCAATTCTTCCTCCAATTTTCCTTTTCTTCCTCCTCCTCACTCCCTGTTTTTCCTTTCTTTACCCTCCTTGAACCCCTCCACTCTCCTTCCTCGCTATAGATCAGTCTTTTGTGGACTCTAGCAAGTACTCATCAGCCAACGCTCTGCAGGGCCTGGCCTTCTCCTGAAGTATGTTATCCCTCGCTTTCATTTTCTTTCTTTCTTTCTTTCCTTTTTCTTTCTTTCTTTCCAAGCCACACTATCCCACACCGCTCATTTGCACAACCAACTCATCCTGCCCTATCCTTCCTACTCTTTTCTGTTTTTATTTGTCACTCTTAACTTGACTCGTTAGAGGGGCAGTGTGCCACACCATATGTGTTCCATTTCCTGTTTTCACTTCCTTCTTCCTGCCTGTGCTCCAGTGGGTGTCTCTGTAGGGAGGTGGTTGTGGCAGTGGGGTGTTTTATGCCACCACGGGTCATTCTGTTCTCCCATTTCCATCAAATGCAGCGCAGGGTCTGTTCGTCTAGGCAGGATGTTGTATGGTGTTGAGATCCTGAGAGAGAAATGATGGATGGGAATCTTTATCAGAGCCCCAAGCTAAGCACTTCCTCACTTCCTCTGTCAGCGTTGATGAGCGCTGACCATGGTGACCCAAAGGCCATTGGCCACTGTGCGCTGATCACACTGACACACATGCACACCCACACACACACACAGCCAGAGACACTTAGGAAATAACCAGGGAATTAGTGGATTGAAGAGAGAGGGGAATCAATGGGGAGCCAATATGTTATATGAAAAATTCCTCTCTGTGATGGCTTCTGTGTAAAAAAAGGGGGGGTAAGGGAAAGGGGTGAGGGGGAGGTGGAAATGAGGAGGTGAAGGAGCTGGAGGAAGGCAGAACGTGATATAAGAAGGTAAAAATGTGAATAAAGCTCCCTATGAAAGGCTCATGGATTCCATTTCCATGTTCAAGTGCTGAGCGTAATTTCATCACCTCTGTCATCCCACGTCACTGCGTCTTTCTCTCATGTTTGAATTATGCTCCATGATGCACAATGGGCTTACACAATGTAACTGCTAACAATTAACAGTGGCAGCTCTTGCATGAAGCTATTCAGAAAGCCTGCGAAAAGTTGAATGATGTTGTCGGCGTGCGCCAAGTTAGCGGCGCAGCGCAGAAAAATGTTTTGATTTCGGGGCCTCGGAATGAAGAGATAATGAGGGAGAGTCGTCTTTGTTCGCCAGATGCTGGAGCACATTTCTGTTATGTGACTGTTGTGATGACAGATGAAACCCAGCAATCACATGATTGACCTCTCTCTCTCTCTCTCTCTCTCTTTCTCTCTCCCTCTTTCTTTCTTTACCCCCCCCCCCTCCACTATCTTCCTCCCCCTCTTTTCCCACAAAGCAGCGATTCCCGGGATGATCGTTCCACCCATGTAGAGGATCTGGGATAGCTGGAGATTTGGGAATGTTGAGAGGAAAAGACACAGTAGCAGAGTCTGGCGAGTCTCTGTTATGCTCTGGAGCTGAACTGAAGGAAGTCAAGATAAGACGCAGGACTCTGTTAAACTCAGGCCTTTCCATTGGGATTTCATCTGAAGGGATAGGGGAGGAGAAAAAAGGGACAATACGAACCTTTGTGATGTTATTTCCCTCTTGGTTGAATTAGTGTAGCTTCTCTGACACCGCGTTGGATGGAGTGTATAGAGACTGATAGTTTACCCACAGTGTGACACTGACCTCATAAAAAGAGCATTTATTTATCTTTGTGTTTATGCCTGTAAGGTTTGGGTTTGATTACTGGAGGCCCCACGCCGTCTTGCAATCCATAACTCGTACAAACAACAGTGAAGTGTTGGTTTGGCCATGAAGTTTACGTAACCTCTGTCACAATAGAAGATGCTTTCCTTAGCTCAGCCTGCTTTGCTAAAACCACATAACAACACACTGGCCAAATGGAACTAAGGTCATCGACACAAAAAAACAAAGAAATACAGAAAAGAACAAAATCAACCTTCAATTTTGCTGCTAATGTCCCATAAATCTAAAAGTGGTATAACAAAATCGGCCTCTGCTAATTCAACATCAGAAAACATGCCTTTCTTTTTTTTCTGTTTGGTTTGTTTGTTTGAATTTTAATAAAACTGTGAGGATTGAGCTGTTTGCAATATGCTTTTCTGCTTGTCATGTGAAGAAAAGGTGGTAATTTAGCCAAAATTGACATTTTGTCGGAGATTTTAGAGAAGACTTGAAAAGCCAGAGGATGTGTGCGTCCAGCCAGCACTGTACTGAAGGAGTCTAGCAAATATCTAATTAGAATAAATGCGTGATATATGTGATATATTTTTGTATATAAAAAAATGTTGAATTTTTCATTTGACATTTCTTTTCTTTTTGCGATAGCTATAGTTTGAAATGTAAACATTAAATGTCTTAAGGCAGCTTCTCAGTACAGAAGATAGATTTACTGTGTGTTGTCAATATCTCATCTGCTAAACATGAGAAACATGGATTTGGATACAAAAAGGGGATTCCTGTAAAATATCCTATAAATAATGTATTTATCCCTTGTATTTGTACATTGCCTCTCACTTTCGTTTAGTTGTGTTGTGTAAGTTTAATACAGTAAGTGAACATATTTCACAGTGTTTTGTTTCATTATTTACTGTTGTCTCTCACTATTTAAATGTGACTTTTTTATCTTTTTTGTTTTGTATGTTGATTGTTTTGCATTGGTATACCATGCTTTCATTTGTTGATTCAAAAACATGCCATTGTCTATTTTTGTATTATTTGTAAGTTAATAAAAAAATTCAGTTTTTTTCCTTATGAAAATGTTTATTGTATGGCAAAAAAGTAGCATCTTATTCAGAGTATTTGGTTGAAGTAGATTTTTTAAGAATATATACACACATTAATATATACTGTAAATCTATATCTTTTTGTTTGAACTCTTTGAGGCTTTCAGATTGATACTGTTCTTGAACTGATAATATGCATGGGTTCTTCTCTTGAGTGACACTTTCTTTTTTTTGTGTGTGGAAACCAAGAGAACTAAGAAATTGCTCTGTGTTTTTCTTTCTTTTAGTTTCTCTTTTCTCCCCTCTGTTCTTTCTTTTCCTATGTTATTTATGCCTGCTTACATACTGTATCTATATACTCTTTCTTTTTTTCTGTCACTGTAATCTTTACCAGCAGTCTAGATGCCTTAACAATGCAAACCCATTCTTCATTCAATCACGTGTACAGTTTTCTACCCTCACCACAATTGTCTATTGCCACAGAGGAATTCATGGGAACTTGGGGACAAAGCACAAACCCACTCTGTTTGGTGGTGAAGCCAGACTAGAATACAAAGAGCCATAATTCAACAATCACACACACCCCGATGTACTATAATACTACAGCAATGGCACGCTTTGAAGGACAGTCGGCGCTGAGAGGCCTCAGCTGTGCTCATTGCACTTTAGTGTTCACAGAAACACTTGTCTTTTTTTTGTAGCGAATATGTAGCTCTTTTTTTCCGATTAATTAAATAATTTCAACCGCATGATGGTAATATTTCTCATTAACCACAGGATCACAACAGTATGACAACATAGAGCTGTGTTAATTGTAGTACAAAGGGGCGCACAGTGAAGACAAGCACTGTCACAGCACAATTTTAATCTCACACATGGAGTCGTAGGTCTGACTCCAGTATCTGACAGTCGATCCCCCAGTCCTTCTCTCCCTGTATTAGCCTTTGGACAATACAGCTTCATTACAAGCTAAACAGAACAAGAACAAGTGAGGAAGCATGAAAGGGAGCTCCTTGGCCCCTCAGCCATTTCTGTAGTCTTTTCTTTGTGTCTGCCGTGTGTCTTCAAGCTGTTGCTGGACAGAGAATAGGGCTTTTCTCTCTGCTTTTCTTTTCTAGAGCCTGGTTTTGTTAAGTGGGTAGAAAGGACCGTTTTAACAGAGGCGCCTGCTGACAGACGAGTGTTTTTCAGGCACTTGTGTGCCTGTGCTGGTTGGGCCGGGGCGGGAGGGGCCGCACCATATCTGTTTCAAATGAACTACAGAGGTCTGTTGTCATACAATGGCTTCTTTGTAAGCAAAGTTCCATCCTGATTATGAATATTGGTAATGGGTGACAAAGTTTTGTATTTAGGTAACAAACAACAAAAAAAAAAGATGCAAACCAAATAGCTGGTGTCTATTTTTTTCCTCTGTTTTGTCTTTGACTGCAAATACACTGAACAGCTCTATGATATAAGGGAAGAAAAAAAATTCTACTGTATAGATTGTTATTGTTTTTGATGAAAATTGAGCTGTAAGATAACTTTTGGACTCTCACAATGTTGAATTAAAGTTACCTCTTGTCTGTGACTTTGTCAGTTGTCATTTTGTTATTTAAATTTGCAGCGTTTCAGATTTCTGTGACATGATCGTCAAACATAAATGTCATTTTTCATGCTTTTTTTTGTTACTTTCTTCTCTTTTTTGACTGGAAATATCATCTCCAAGTAGCTGACAGGAGGTTGACTAAGAATAGAGGAGAACTGGCTAAGACTAATTCCACAGGTCAGAAACAGGCCTGCATCCCCTCCCCCCGCTGGGCTCCTTTCTCTAATGAATCTAATTCATTAATGCATTACTGATGGCATGGTGAACATGGTTAGCCTGACAAGTTTCCTCCTAAACATATTAGTTAATGATGATTCCAAGGTTATTAATTGCGAACGCACCAGCCCACCATAATTGAGTCATCATTTGCATACCCGGTCATCAGCAGAAAATTAATTTCTTTTTTATTTTTTGCATATCTAATTTAGGGGCCTGCGATTGGATTAGCTTGTGAAAATAGCGGATCCCAGGATTCTGCTGACCTCAAAGTGTTCCAGGGTCTCCACGGTAACTGGAGGCTTCCGTAACGCCAAGGGGGGACAGCAAGACGACCTGGAAGTAGGCTGCTGATGAAATAAGGACTCGTAAACACTGTGTATGCTTGAGTGTGTTTGCCTCCTTAATTGCCCGTGGGTTTGTGAGTGCACAGGGCTTCTTTTTCTCCTATATATATCTAATAACCGAGTTGATAGTTTGCTGACAAACAGTAAAGTGGGTTGTAGTCTGCACGATTTAGCAGTAAGAGGTGGGATATTGAATTATGGAGGTTACACTCAGTGCTGGGGAAAATGAGTCCTGGAGCCTAATGTTTTTGATTAGCGAGCCGAGCACCGCTGCCATGTTGCACCGCGCGGCTCCAGGGATTCCGCTTCCCCAAAAGCGGCTTGCAGTGTAACACACACACACACACACACATTAAAACGCTCATAAATCATAAATACACACAGACAAAAGGTGAGCCCATTTTGCTCTTTATTTCCAGCAGCTTTTCAGGCCCAGATAGACTGGTCAGTGTGGGAGGAGGACAATAGGAGTGGGAGGCCGAGGGCAACGTGGAGCCAGCAGACCTCAGCCCTCTGGAGACATAACATTAAAGACGCTATTCCTGGAGAACTACTCCTCTGGATACCAACGGTAGAGCCTTCACACATCAAGAGGGGTGCTGTTCAGGAGCTTCTGTGCTACTAGTATCCTAATGAAATATATTAATGCACATATTCCTCAACATCTCGCTCTCCTCCTCCTTCTTTTTCTCATTCTCCTCCCTGCATGGACACATGAAGGGAGGAAGAGCGGAGAGGCATATTTGAAAGAAAAACAGGAGTCCCCATGGGGATCCCGGATAAAGAGGAAGGAAAGAAATGGAAAGGAGAGAGGATGGGAGTGTGTATTTGTGTGTGTGTTGGGGTAGGGTGGGGTAGGAGGGGGGGGGATATGGAGGCAGACCTAGACAGTAAGCCAAAGACAAGGAGAGAGGAGGAATGAATATTAATAATATTCTATGTTGGAAAATAGTCACAATGGACATCATAGAGAGATGAAGAGAGGCAATGGGAAGCAAGTTCCATTCCTGGCCTAACTTAATGTGTGTGTGTGTGTGTGTGGTTGCAGGTGCACATGAGCCACCTTTCTGCATCTGTGTATACATGAACATGCCTGCCAGTAAGACAGAGCATATTTGAGTGCAGGCATATCTAGAATGAGTGTGCACTCACATTCAGGTTTGTGCTCTCGCTTACGAGGGTGTGTGGTCGTTTCCCACAGTAATTATCCCGATGACTGTGGGTGTCTGTCTATGATCTGTGTGGTACCTGTCAGAGGGAGCCCGGCAGAGCCTATGCTTTATATTCCCTGTAATTGCTGCTGCTAATTTACTGTGCGTTGGCCTAATGAGTAGGGAGGTGAGGGGCTGGGGTATGTAATGGATGTTAGAGAGATAGCGATAGAGAGATGGATTTCACCACTGCCGGCAGAGAGAGAGGGAGAAGGGGAGGAGGCCGGCGAACTGTGTGTGTTAAGCAAGCATGTAGAACACTTATCTTTATTGTTCTACTAAAATGAAAAAAAAAAAAAAAGATAAGCTATTTGCCCCCCCCCCCCC